ATAATAATTATATTATTAACATTAATATTTTATTTTTTATTAAAAAATTAATACTTTTTTTTTATGTTTGCAGGCAATTTGCCTGCTCTACAGTTTAAGGGATAATATTATATATTTTTTTAAATAAAAAATTTAGTTGACTTTAAATTATATTAAGTATAATTAAATACTAATAATCAATAAAAATAATTTACTATCTATTATATTATTAATTATTTTTTAAATAAAAAATTTAATTTACTTTAAATTATAGTAATAAATATAATTAATTACTAATAATCAATAAAAATAACTTATTATCTAAATTATTATATAAAATTTAGTTAATTTTAAATTATAGTAATAAGTAAATATAGTGTTGCAAACTAGTTGCAATCAGTGATAAATAAGTATCACAGAATTGCAACTAGTTGCAATATTAATAAAAATTAAGTTGCAACTAGTTGCAGTTTTATCTTTAATAATGATATAATTAAATACTGATAATCAAATAAAAATAACTTATCATCTATTATAATATTATTTATTTTTTAAATAAAAAATTTAATTAACTTTAAATTATAGTAACAAATATGATTAAATACTGATAATTAATAAAAATAACTTACTCTCTAATAAAATTTATTTTTTAATATAAATTTAGTTGATTTTAAATTACAGTAATAAGTATAATCAAATATTGAAAATCAATAAAAATAACTTACAATCTAAATTATTATAAAAATTTAGTTGACTTTAAATTACAGTAATAAGTATAATTAAATATTAATAATTAATAAAAATAACTTACCATCTATTATAATTTTATTTATTTTTTTAAATAAAAAATTTAGTTGATTTTAAATTACAGTAATAAGTATAATTAATATTGATAATTAATAAAATAACTTACAATATATTATATTATTAATTATTTTTTAAATAAAAAATTTGGTTAACTTTAAATTATAATAACAAGTATAATTAAATACTAATATTAATAAAAATAACTTACTATCTATTAAATTTAAATATAAAATTTAGTTGACTTTAAATTACAGTAATAAATATAATTAAATGTTGATAATTAATAAAAATAATTTACAATCTATTGAATTTTTTAAATAAAAATTTAGTTGATTTTAAATTACAGTAATAAATATAATTAAATACTGATAATCAATAAAAATAACTTACAATTTATTGAATTTTTAAATAAAAAATTTATTTGACTTTAAATTACAATAATAAATATAATTAAATACTAATAATCAATAAAATAATTTACCTCCTAATAAAATTTATTATTTAAATAAAAAATTTAGTTAATTTTAAATTATAATAATAAGTATAATTAAATACTGATAATCAATAAAATAATTTACCCCCTAATAAAATTTATTTTTTTAAATAAAAAATTTTGTTAACTTTAAATTATAGTAACAAATATGTTTAAATACTGATAATCAATAAAAAATAACTTACAATCTAAATAAAATTTATTTTTTTAAATAAAAATTTAGTTGATTTTAAATTATAATAAAAAAAAATTAATTTCTTACTTTCTATAATATTATAAAAAATATTAATTTTATTTGAATATAATAAATATAATTAACTGAATTAATAAATAATTTACCTTTTAAATTATTAACATTTTATTTTTAATAAAAATCTTATTTATAAATAATAATAAATATTAAATAAAAATTATAATATAAATAATTTACCAACTAAAATATTATTAATTATCATTAAAAATTTTTATATAATAAATTAAGTTTAAATTAAAATGTAAAAAATAAATAATTTACTCCCTATAGTATTATTGATTATTAAATATTTTTTAGTTTAAATAAATTTAAATTATATAAATTAAAATATAATAAAAATTAAATAGTTTATTACAATCATTAAAATTTTTTTAAAAAAATATTAATTATTAATAATTATATAAGTAAATAATAGATAAATTAAGTTTATTATCATTTAATTCTTTTAATGTAGGAATATCTGAAACTGGTTCTATATTCAAATTTGATAAAATTTAATTTTTAGCAAACAAAAATGAGTATAAATAATTAGAATGTGATTAATCATACATGTATTACCTTTAGCATTCGAAACTTGCTCTAATGTAAATTTATGAAAAAAAAATTTTAGAATATCATCAAACAGTTAAATTAATTCATTTTAATCATATAAAGCTTCATAATTTTTATTTTCTTTTCTTATTTGGTGAAAATATTATTTAATTTTTTTATTACATTACACTCTTACCTTTATAATTACTATTAGACATTGTTATAATATTAAAAAAAAAAAATGTTTTTTTTAAAAAAAACTTTTATTTCAAATTATCCTGTATAACGATAACAGAATATAATAGTAGATCTTTACCGGTATGGAATTTTGTTTAATTTATTATATTTATAATTTAAAAATTTTGCATTTATCAAATTGAATTTAATTAATCAAATTAAAAATTTTAAAAATTTGTTACTAATTTCCGAAATTTTAGAAAATCTATATATGTAGCAAAAAGAGGCTTAGAGATGAATATTAGTATTTTGCAGAAATCCGATGATTTACATCCTAGTCATCACGAAACTGACCCAAATTCGCATTGATCACGTAGCCGCATGTTAGCTTGGCGAATTCGTAAGAATTTCGTTAATTTTTCAATTATAAATATTTTTGGAACATTAATAAAATGTAATAAATATATTAATAAATCAGAAAGTAAAATAGAAAATTATCTGAAAAATTAATCCAAGATATTCCGTCAATGAATTTAACGATGTTTATAATAAATACATTTATTTCGTTTAGATATATTTTTATTTGAAGCAATTATTATAATAAAAATTTCTACTATAATAAATAAATATATCTATTTTAACTCAGATAAATAAAAATGCCTATTTTAACGCAGTATTGTAATAAAATTTAATTTCTATTGTTAAATAACAATATATTGTTATATTATCATAATTTCTGCCATTTTAAGATGGAACGAATATATTTTGTGTTATTTTATCCAAAGATTTTGTCCCTTCTGTATCTCTGATAGCATAATTAAGAATGAGTGCCCTTTTAACTAGATGACTTAAATAAATTAATGAATTGTTTGCTTTTAATTTGTCGATTTTATAACACTTAACCATCGCTTTAACATAGTCATTATCGTTTCTTCATCAACAAAGTCATCAACGTCTTCTTGTCGCAATAAAGTTGTTGTAAGAATGCCTTGCCTAATAAAATATAAAATTTTATTAAATTTTTCGTTAAAATAAACATAAACTAAAGTCAAAAAAGGATACTAACTTTGTTCTTTTTTTCTTAATTGAAATGACCAATTTTTCTATTCCATTGAGAAATTTATTCTAGAAGTCACCAAAATATCTATACCTGATCTTCAACCATTCTAAACCTTCAGCTGAATTAAGTTCGCATTTCATTATTTGTCATACTAACTCTTCAAATGCATATTTTGGAGGATTTTGAGTATGAAGGAAAAGACATTTCAGTTCTTCTAAATAATTGCGACTATCCTTTGACTGTAAATAAATCTTATTAGTAGCTTTTTAAAATAATCAAAAACAAAAATAAAGAATCTTACCTTATCTTCTTGAAATGTCAATTGTGATTGTAATGTTATCGAATTTAAAATTGATGGCATTGATTGTTGTTCATTTACAAGTGATGATTGCATTGATGAATACATAGCATTAGCAAATTGGAGAATATTCAGATTCGAACATAACCAATTTACAAGTTGAAAAATCATATCCATATCATTAAAACATAGTGGAAGTGTAGGAGCACTAGATGAATTAAATAGCCGTATATAAATTGATATTTCTTCTAAATTCCTTAGTATTATACGCGCAGGAGCTGATATATTGTCAAAGTCGATCGAACTTTCACAAAATTGATGAACTGATGTGTTCAAATTCTTTGGTATTATACGTCTAGGAGATGATATATTAGATTCAATCAAATTTCCTTGAACTTGACAAACTGATGAATCTGGATTCTGTATTGCACAACCGGGAGCTGATATATTATCAAGATCGATTGAACTTTCATGAAATTGATAAACTGATATATTCAGATTCTTTGATATTTCATGCCCAGAAGCTGGCATATTATCAGATTCAATCGAATTTTCATGAACTTGACGAACTGATGTGTCTGAATTCTGTATTGCATGATTAGGAGCTAATATATTATCAAAGTTGATCGAACTTGACAAACTGATGTGTCTGAATTCTGTATTGCACGATTAGGAGCTGATATATTATCAAAGTTGATCAAATTTTTATGAACATGATGCAAAGAAAGTAAAGCATTTGAATCCCTTGATGTTATAAGCATAGGAGTTGATATATCATCTAAATTTCTATAATCTTGTTGTAAAGGAATAATTGTATCTGAATATCTAGATATTTTATGTATAGGAGCTGGTATATCATCAAATTCTTCTAAAACATGAGTATTACGTTGAGATGAAGCTGTATTTTCCAGAAATAAAGATGATTCTATTGGATTCTTATCATAGTTATTATCTTCTAAAACTTCACTTAAGAGATGTATTTTTTTATTTAAAGATGCAAATTTTCTACTTTCACTTTCACTTTCACGTTTACGTTCACATTCACGGCCTTATCCTCACCCGCATTTACAAACTTTAGATTGTTCTTATTTTTCAGATAAATCTTTTTTGATAGTTCGTTCACGTTCGCGAATTTGAGCCATTTTAAATTATAGGATATTTGTGTTTATAATTGTAATATTTTATTCATTTAATATTGTTTTAAAAAAATTTTTTTATCGCTAATTGTTTATATTATATATTCAATTTAATCAATAAAAGTTAATTTATAATTTTATACTACTATATATTGTTATTGTTTTATATATTGCAAATTTCTAAAAATAGTAAATAAAGAAAAACTTAATTTATTATTATTATAATTAGGCTTCTATAAAAACTCTTTTTGCCTTTCCACAAAAATCTGCAAAATGCCAAAAAAACCAAAAGGAAGAATACCAACCGCGGTCGCTCTGCATCGCCAATATCTGATAAACTACCAAAAAAGAAACAAAATACACTGCAAACTTCAGACAACGACCTCTCCCTTACTTATGTAAAGAAACCTCTTGTAACTGTCCTTCCAGAAGAGACCAACACCATGAAAGTCGACCCAGTCAAAGAAAGTTCGTCCAACAACCTTGATAAAGGGAAAAGTCCCAAAATTATTGCCTCAACTTCTATAACTTCAGAAATTACTGCGCCTATACTAACAGTTAATGTCGACGAGTCTTTCAACGTGTCAGAAAATCTTTTAGATACCTCAACCATTGGCTTTGACGCTCCCTCATCACAAGTCACAAAATTTTTTGCATACATCCAGATGGATAAACTCCTCGGCCTGAACCCCCAATTGAAGATCTCTAAGATCACTAATTTGTGCTATGATAAATATAACTCATTTATTATTGCTACAAAAGGAAAACATCCTACTAAGATCAATCAGGCAATTATTAAAGTTGCCTTTTCAGACAAAATCGAACGTGATGAATTTTGTAAACACAAATCTCCCGAAATGGTTGATATCACGTTCTAACCCCTTGATATAAAAAAATCTGCGCCTTATATACCCGATCGGTCGATCACAGTAACAGAAATCCCTTTAGACGCCACAGAAACTAGACTATAAAAATTGTTTTCCAAATTTGGTAATATTGTCTGTTTTGCCATGGAAACAAAAAACCTTTGGCAACGAGCCACAATCACTTTTGATGAAAATGCTAATTTCAAAGAATTAAAAAAAGGAGACGGGATTTATCTCCTTAACGATATGATCCGATTCCATCCTTGTAGCCTATCTAGGACAGAAATTTAAGCGCGTTCTGCATTCTCAGCAAAACTAACAAATCTCTCCTGTAATGTTACACCACGTGATCTCTAAGACATTGGAAACATGGTCTCTGCTACTGCGTAGATTATCTCTAGAGCCCGTTCGAATTATAATTATTTGCAACACGCTTATTTTTATTTCTCCAACAAAGAAGACACCCTAGATGCTCTAGGAATAAAAAATTTAACTCTTAACAACAAAAAATTAGAATGGACTGACCTGAAAGCTAAACTTTGTGCAATCTGTTCTTCTGCACATCACAATGCGTCCATTTGTCTCAGACGTCAACAATCTTCTAAGGATCAAAATACGCAAAATCTCTACCAGCGATTCCAACCAGCCCAATTTAATAATTATACAGCACCAAAGCGAAGTCCTATACGAGGAGCAGTTCGCGATAACATTACTTTCGCCCATGTTGCTAAAACTCCTCAACAAATCATTAATCCTCAAGAAGGACCAAAAAGAAGACCCCTCCCTCCTCCACCACTAAAATCCAAACCCTATGTTTCTTCTTCTAATAACCCCTCCTCAGAAAAAAAAAATTTATGATGGGCAGACGAATCAATTGATAAGTTCATAGAAACTGAAGTTCTACCCACGCCCAACTTAAATAATGGTACAGCTAAAGGTGGTTCGATTCATGACCCAGACTTCAAACAGTTTGTTACCTCTCAACTCACGTCAATTTTTAACGCTCTCTCCGATCTTTGTGTCGAATTTAAATTTTCACAACAACGTCTCGCTATAGTTGAAGATGCCCTTCACATTAAAGTCATTACTCCTACCGAGGCGGATGACTTTAATAAAACTTACCTGATACTGCATCTGAAGCCGAAAAAAATATCCACATATCAACACTGACCTTTGCACAGCCCATTTACAAAAACAGTCAAATGAACAGTTAGTTCTCATCTATCAAAAACAACAACAAAGAATCTCACAATTCACTCCCATACTCAATAAGTTATTTAGATCCTGTTACGATCTCCAATCTACACTCCTTAACAAAAACATCCTCAACAAACAAGATACACAAATTTTCAAACCATTGACTGAGGATTTTGACAAAGCAATTGAACGCTGCATTGGCAGCTTCTCAATTAATTTATAATTATATCATAAATACTGTTCCTACAATAAATAATATTGATGTTCCTGTTTCTCACACTCCATCCATACCAAACCTTAGAATTGCTATACAAAATGTTCATTCTTTAAATAACACTACAAAACAAAATTACCTTTTTTCTTTATATTCTATAAATCAATTTGACATCATAGGCCTACAAGAAACTAA